GCCTAGTTAACACTAATCTCGATTAGAGGGTAATAAAATTAACTGGCGGCCTTCCTTAACGCAGCGATTGAAACAATGCTCGCCATTTTAACTTGTAGTACTTGGTGACCTGTGGTAATTAAAACAGAAAGTGCGCAGGAGCTGGTGAAAGGGACGCATAACTTACACCAATGTTATAAGAACCTCTTTGGCTAAAGCCAACGACAAAATTAAGGGCCTCTGCAGGATACTGCTCTGTTTACGGACTAATTCAAGGAGCACTCGTTCAATACTTCCAAACTGCCAACCAGGAGAAAGATTGCTGACAGGAGAATTCAACTGCAAATAATAATAATGGATATACATTTTGCTACCAATAAATCGAAGAAATATAGGCTAAGCAACAGTACCGGCTTCTGTAAACCGTTTGTTAAATCTAATTACAAAGCTTTCTCACCAGTCAGAGGCAATAAGAATATCATACAATATTACTGTGATATGTCAAACAATTCTAATTAAGTACCGATCACTTCCCCAAATTTAGTCAAATTTCAATCAATCAAAACCTAAGAAAGTAAAGAAATAATACCGTACGAATAATGATTTTCAGATACAATAAGAAAGTACTGTAAGACCACTGATCCCCTACCATGTCGTGCGCCATTAAACGCGATTTTCTGTGGCACACATGGTACATTGGAAGATTAGAAATACGAAGTATACTTCAGTTTTACCTGACGGTCAGCTCTCACTTCATTTAACAGCGTCCGTCAACCGGGCTTACTGTATTTTTTTAACGACAAGAGCGGATCACGCTGTTTCAGATAGGTTGCTCCTGCATTGGCTGTAGTAGTTGAACTTTTCCTTATAGTTTATTGTTCATGCAGGGTATACAAAACCCGCTATATAGTCTGTTTTCACTTTCCGCTTGATTGTTCATGAAAAAATTTTGCAAATACAAAATAATGTAATTTTTGTATAATTAATGACTTGTACGTTTAGAGCAAAATGACTACAAAATATGTTGAAAACTATTGCGGTGAAAAAAGCCTCCAAGTGACACGTCTGTTCAGAAACAAAAGTCCTGCAAACTGCGCATAAGAGCATGAACAACGGTTCGAATTCACTAGTCGATCAAATTAGAGCGATAGGGTTTAGCATAAGCGAAATAACGCTTACATCCATATTTGGGATTTTATATTACGGTTGAGACTGTAAATATGTACCATTCAAATGTTTCAAAAATGCTATCCTTGTAATTTCTAAGCTACTTTGATCCTCGTCAGGGATGAACTGTCAGCAGTTATAGTAGACTACCGCATATCTATTTACTTGTGCTTACAGCTATTGAAATGACAATATGGTGAAGAAGTAGGAAAAAGTTTAGAAAATATTTTATATGGACAGAGCGGTCGATTTCCGTTTTCCTGCTGCAATACGGAATATTTTCACGGCATTTGAATTGCCGCGGAATATTTGAAGGCGAAACCTGCCTACGAGAGCGAACATCGATTGGTTAGCGTAACATTCCAGACTGACTCCCGGAATTCGAACGAATGAAGAAATGTCTTCCGGTTCATTGTGATTTTGCGGTTCGAAAACCGGATGTTCGGCTTTATGGAAAGAGCGGCCAGCGCCAGGAAGTCAGTGTACGTTGAGTGGTCTGTACGAAATATGTTGATTGCAAACTGATAAATAAAATTCATGTTTCGTTTTGTGGAAAATCGAACACCAATCCGTAGACGCAGAAGACAATAAATCCTGGAAGCTGCTGATGCTACCCCTCTAGTGCAGGATGAAATGGTTGAATAGCAGGTTAGATCAAGTCATAAATTAATTAACATTTCGGTCTTTCTATAGAAGCAATATTTCTGCCTGAGACTGAAGAATCGTTACAATTCTTACACAGATAGAATTTTTTGAAATGTTTTAGGAACTGTTTCTGTCAGAGCCGCAGAACCTATATGGTATTCGCAGGTTCTTGAGAGAGATGCCGACCTATTACATAAAATTTATTCCAATAGCTCTGGAACTTTATTATGTAATATCTTCACAGAAAACAACGCTTGTGTTGGTTAAAATGAACATAAAAATCAGAAACTATAAATCGAACCTATCATAACTTTACCTACAAGGACTTCGAAGCGTTCCAGAAAATTAAACGATGAATATTCTATCTATCTGTTGGCCAATCAACCCGGCAAGTCAATTGTCCTGTATAGGGAAAAATATACGAGGAATCAGAACATAGTATGCTCACCCTTCGACAGACCAATGTTTGGCTGCTAGGTTGACAGTTAGAGTTATTACTGCCCATTTCTGTTTCTAAAAGCATTCAAAGGGTAATTTAGTGATGTGCCTTTTGTCGTTGCATTTGCAATGTTGCTCTAAAATAGAAGTTCTGATAACAACTTTATCTGAAACTTCGATTTATTTTCACTGCAGCTTAGTTGCTGCACGATTTGAGTCCTTTTGCTTTCTTTTATCAAAGCTGAAAAACGAGATTTTTTGGTGATATAATTTCAGCAGCCTTCTTGCATACGGGATTCACGGCCAGCTGCTTAGGGCCATCCAATCACTGTATTCTGATAGCGGGTGCTGAGTCAGAGTTAATGGCATTAATTCAAAACCATTCAATGGTCGCACTGGTCTCCGCCAAGGTTGTGTCCTGTCCCCTATCTTGTTTGTGTTATACAGGAGCTGCCAAGTCGATGAGGGTATCTGTGTAGGTGATGTTTGCAGACGACCTTGTTTTATTAGCATCTTCTGAAATTGATCTCCAGTGCTCCTTAGAAAAGTTCGCAGCATGTGACCGGCATGTGTGTGAACGCGTTTAAAACGAAAAGCCTCGTGCTTTCTCGTTCTTCTGCCCGTTGCTCTCGTCAGATTAACGGAGAGGCAGTAGAGCAGGTGGAGAAGTTCAAATACTTCGGAACTGTGTTCCCTAGTGATGGAAAATTGGAGGAAGGGATCGACCGGCGAATTGGAGTAGCCAGTGCAATTCTGCGTGAATTAGCCCGACCCATTGTGACTAAAGCAGAGCTCAGTCTGAAAACTAAGCTCTTTGTGTTCAAATAGATCTTTATCCCCATGCTTACCTACGGTCATGAATCGTGGACCATCACTAAAAAAGATCGAACCCGGGTACGAGCTGCTGAAATGGGCTATCTTAGACGAGTCGCTGGCCTTACGCGTCTCGACATGGTCCAGAACAGTGATATTGAGAAGTCATAGCTGCGATGGCTTGGGCATATGTTGCGAATGCCTCCAGAAAGGAAGGCTGAGGAACTGTTCCTTGCAAATCCGACCGACAGAAGGCGCAGGGGACGGCCAAGATTAACCTGTCACAAACATATGGAAGGAGTCTCTTCGAGACTTCATTTGTCTTTTGCCGAAGCTCAGACTCTGGCACAGGATCGGGAACGTTGGAAGCTTTGTCTGACGTGTCTGACTCCGTGACCCGAAAGGAGAAGCGACGATGAAAGATGAAGATGATAATTTCAGCAGTACATTTGCGTTCGGTTCGACAAGAGTGTCAATCTGTCAATTTCGATACCCAGACTTCCATAGAGTTCCAGGACTTTGTCACCGCATGCCAACTGTATCGTCATTCTTGGACATAGAGTGCCAGAATAAGATCATCGCATATATCAGAAAAACGTAGAAATTCGCATGGAAGGTTCTCACCTGAGAGAACGTGAAACTGACGTGATCAAATAGCAGATAACTTTTACGAGCTTCTCCATCTATTTTTTACGTGCAGTTCGTGACAAGTATAAATATGAGAAAATAGAGCAACTTTCATATCATCTTTAAGTATTTGGAGTGCCAAATCACCTACAGTTTTTTCTAATCAAATTGTACACTGCTATCGATTGCCGAAGAAGATTTTATTTTCTGTACAACACGTTATAAATTTCAGCTGTAATTGCTAGATAAGGTAAAAAACACGGCAAATGCCTTGTTTGTACGATAACTAAAGCATTGTGTTTGCAACGATCCCAGGATAGTAGTGTAAGTCGATTGTTTAACAAATTTCGGATACGAAGTGAATCCAGTGGTTATTCTGCAATGCAGGCAATATTTTCCTCCATCCGGGCTGTTTGTGCCTTCAAAAGCAGAGCGAGCACGAGTGACTGATTTCAGACAAACTGGTTGACGAATGAGAATGATCTGTTGCTGTTGATTCGGGTGTTATAGCCACGCTGACGTGGATATTCGAGGGTCGGACAGTACGGCTGTCATCGTAGATATTAATAGTGATGACAGAAGGTCGATTTTCGACGCTGACTCGATAACGGTTAGAGTTTTGCCGTGACTCTGTATAATCAGTTACGGAAGTGGAACAGGTATTTGTGCTATCAGCCATCCTACAGGATTCACAATCACATGATTCAGAACCTGTGGCTACGAAATCGCTCGATGCTGAAGTGGTCATGGATTTATTGTCGTTGGTGTCACTAAGCGTTAGGGACTTCAACAAGTAGTCCTGTTCCCCATTGGTAGCAAACTCTGCTTTACTGTCCTCTAAAGAGTCTTTGCCAGCATCTGTGTAACCACAGCGTTGAAGAACAGCGTCCTGTACTTTTGTTGTGGAACGAAAAGTTCCGTTCTGATGTTCATTCGCCGGTACCAGCGGTTCTTGCTTTCTCTGATCACGTTCGTCGTCGTTGAGATATGCCTTACATTCATCTGAAAACTTTCTCATCGCTAGTCCTTCGCGCATCTCGTCCATTTCGCTGAACGTATCTGTTATTTCTGAATAATCGTCAGTGGCCATCGACGCTTCCTTGCGAGGATAAACTTCCGACGAGTGGATGTTTTCGGCACATCGGACGACGAATGCCTCCCCATATCTCGCCTGCAATGCATAAATCATGAATGATACAAATTTTTTCAAGACCATCTCGTCTGAGAGCTCATGGACACTTGTGCAATAACACGGCTGTGTTGCTTACAGCTGAATGGCGTCAGTCTACCATGACACGACTACATGGGAAAGTCTTCGGTGCCCATAAACGTTTTCCTGAGTACTGCTGCTAGCTGAATGGCAATGGCACAGGCATTGACATACTGTCTGCACTATGGTAGGTGCAATGGACCCCAACTAGAATATGAAATGGCTAGTTTTGCACTGCAAGGGAACATTTTAGATAATGCACTCCGGGCTCACACTTCTCGACATGTTGGCAGAGAGTTGTTGTTGTACCGTGCAGCAACTAAGCGAACGTACCTGATCTGATATACCAGGACAAAGTTTATTATATGAAGCATGTGACTCAAATTCACATGACATTTATGACTTAGCCTCAAATTCTCCATTAGAAAAAGTCGAGCTGATGGTCGAAGCAGGTGACAAATATACTAACAGTTTTCATCAGCCAATAAAGCAACCGAGACCGGTCAAGTTCAAGGTTTTAAGAGGAAGAGAAAAACGTTGCATTTCAAAGTCATGTTTGAGTGTCTGGTGAACAACTGCAGTGCAGTTTACATCTTGTGCCGAATAGCACATCGAAAGGTCGGTTATCCGGAGGCAGGTTAAAGATAATGGCATCCCTAGGACGCGCTCACATCAAAAAGCATGGACATATGTGTGGCTTATTTTGGTATGGCCATATCTGCGGACCATGCTGTTCATTTTGCTGACAAGTTATCGGCTGGCTACCCATTCCTCAGCTTGTTTCACTGAAGTAAGTTTGAGGGAATTAATTGCTTAAGGGAATTCGTAGTTTAGGTAAATGTTTTCTATTCCAGGAGTGAATCCGATTTCCATGAAATTTGAAGCTGACCTCTCGCCACTAAACAGGAAAAAGACAACCCCACTCCACATGCATTGACAACAGTCATCGCCTGCTTAGTTCTCGAGGGCGTATCTCGATAAGCAATCAGTAAAATTCAACAAGACGCCTCCGGCAATTTATTTCAGGCTACATAGATTTTCCGTAATGGAACTAGCAGTTGGTTGCTCTATGCAGGTTGCCAAGCAAAACGCATTCCTTCATCAGAGCATACTGCTTCGTTGGAAACAGTGGACGTTATAAGCTCAGACTTTGGCCCCTGCATTTCACAGCTCGCTGCTCCATACAAAAGTCCCGTTTCGATCGTGTAATGGTTTATGATGCCCAATTATCAATAGTAAGTTATTGGAGAACGGCAATGTTATGCCATGGTTCCTAACTCCCCTTCATTTTTCCTCGTTCATCTCGTTCTGGGAGCTTTCGAAACTTAGTCCAGTTCAGTGGCGTGCTCATCAGCTTTAGATGAACGGATGAACAACATCAACTGTTACACAATTCTGTTGGAAATGACGAAATTATTAAAACGTCATCAAAGTCTTCGCCTCATATTTCCCCCATTTTGATTGTCCATCTGGCGATGAAAACGTATTTTGCTCTCTATGATTGGATGTTATCCATTCGACGTCTGTTGTACAACTTTCCCATTTCAATTCAAAGGGTAGGAAGCATTAAAAAATACCTGGTCATAAACTGATTGTAGATTAATATGCACAATGTTGCCGCTCCTTCGACTCCGGTTTGTAACCGAGGTCCATCTGTTAGGCAGGACTGTCTTAAACGGCATACGGAGATCTGTCATCTCTGGTGATCACAGCCTTCTTAACCAATCGTAATTGGATTTGCGAAAATTCCAAGGCTGTTGGACAGTTGTGGGGAATATACGAATCATTGGTCATTAACGGAAAATTCCGCAATGAGGTGCCTGCGTATCACGATAGAGACTGAATGAGTACGCTGTTCATCTGATAAGCTCACATGAATTCAATTTCGGTATGCAGGAGGTCAGAAAAGAATAGCGCGAGTCTTAAATTTCAGAACATGCCCGCAACTCTTTTGTCATTGTGATAACCTGAGCATTTTAAGTTCTACAGTAAAGCATAGCATGACTGAACAGAAATGGCAGATAATCATGCGTACTATTCCGTCTAATAATAGCCGAATGGACATCAGCTAAGGTTCGACTGATCGTTGAAGAATCTGCATATTCAAGTGCTCATTTCGTGATCTGATCATCAGGTTGATTTTTCATTACTGTGACAGGTCGTCGGTCATAGAGGGTAGGTTGCTTACTTTAACCATTATTTACCAACATGGTGGAGACAACTAGGCTTGTAAATCTTGACAAAACCTTTGTATCAAAATGCACCAGTTCTTACCTTCATCGATTCCTTCATAATTACGTCCCACCAACGATTAGCATCGGGTTCTGTGTCGAAACGAAACTTTAATGTACCCTACGAATATTTCGTCATATTAAAACTGTAATAAAAATTCATGTGAATTAAATGAAAGAAAAAGATAAAGAATGGACATACTTTTTCCCGTAATTTGATTGTTTTATCACCAGTTGCCAGTGATATGTGATAAACTCTGTAACGCATTAAAAATACTATCACTATTAAAAAATGGTGGTACCTGATTCATGAATAAAATATATTCGCACGCGGTTATTTATTATGATATTAGTTTAAATATACATACTGATAAGCCTTTAATTAGATAGCGGTGAAAGATATTCGAATTCGTCGGTGACATGAACATGAACTTCATCGGTAACATGTTCTTTGGTTGGATAGGTAATGTAACCAGATTTAACGGCACAGTAATCTCAAGCTATGCTAGAGTTCGATAAACTAGTTTTCGTTTATAGCAGACACACAATTAAGACCTGTTTTTGTACGAATGAGCCAATGGTAGCCTGTACGAGCTCCTACGTCTCATAAACCAGTCGCAGTTATCGGTGCATCTCCTTGACTGTATAATTTAATTGGCCTCAAACATGTTACTGATCACTTTTGCAATGAGATTGTACAGCTCTCAAATAAAACAGGCTTTTCTAAGCATAATGTCTAGAAATCCTGGCGATGAAGTAACAGATAAAAAGCTTTTTACGCAACAGGGAGAAAAGCAGAAGAAGCGGGATGAAGACCAAAATGAAACCATCTGAGTTTAAAGTACTCGCTACGACATCAGCGGCTTCAGTACTCAAATTAGCCCACGAAATACGTAACGTTTAGCAGGATATAATGATCCTGACATGGAGAGAAATTCTGATTTCAAACCAGGAATGAATTGCACTCATATATCATCAAAATCTTAATAATGCAGAAAAAGCAGCTCTTAAATAGACAACATTCGTTAAGTTCATTAAAATCAGCTGAACTTCATATATCGGTTCCTGATCATTCAATCATCCTCAATCATTCCTCGTTGTTGCGTGACGTTCAGACACGAATGTGGATGTCGAATTTTCATCGTTTGCTGATTCTGATTCCGATGGATCACACGCCTCACCATAAGCATCATCATTACCCTTGGTTTCCTTAGTTTTTGAGTATGTGGAAGAACGTCATTTTTCGATATGTAATAAATATTTGCTGTTACCTTCCCATATATAATACAAGATGGAGCCTACTGTTTGTGCATTGTCCATGTAACTTTAACGATGTAAGTTTAATGTAGCCATAGGTGATGAGCATGAATTCATTTTAATACAGTGATTCATCGTTTGTAACGCTTAGCTTCATACTTAGGTACAGTTCCGCTTTGCAATAAGGTGAACTTGGTATGACTGGAAAGAAACTTTGGATATATGTGATGCTATGGGAAACTAATTTTGACGATAACTATAATTCGGAAGCGAAATCCTAAAAGATCTTGCATCTCAAGGTGGCAAACCACCCGTGAAAAACTTAAAATTAGTGCGATTCCACTTTCTCGACCCTCTCTTACCAAACTCTTATATAAGCAAGCATATTTTTTTCACGCCTCGTCAGTAGAGCATGACAGGTTTTTCTGATGAGTATAAGACTGCTATAGTGAATAAAGTAATGCGATATTCGTGTGGCATTTTCGGGACAATGCTTTACCAATCTTCTGATAATAGTTTGTCATCCCACGCCAAGAAACGAAATCGAATCTGGGATTACACCTTATGATGGTTATTACATTGGATACTCAGCTATCAGGTCGATCAAGGCGAAGTGTAGTCACGAAGGGATGCTCACCTCGGGCAATCCCGCTTTTCTGCATGACGCATAATACCGCACAATCCATCCATTCTGGTATGACCATGCCAGAATTCCATGTTGTCTCAACTATTCTCCAGTCAACGACTTACTACCCATTTACGGTTTCGCTGAAGCAACTTGGAGATAATTCGCTGAATTCTCAATCAAGCTAAATATTGTCCTTTAATTCGAACTTGGCACCTCCGGGGTTCAAGCCGACCTATGTGCCACGGTGCCACCACGCCTCAAGAACAGACGTATATCACCTTATGGAAAGAATCGTATTCAAAAAATTTGTAGACGCTGTCGTAAAATTCTCTAGTTTTACTTTCGCTGTTGAACTGCTCATTTAAAGGAGATTCGTACATGTATTTAGGCAACGCTACAGCTTGACAATGCACCGTAATATTCAAGAATACTTTTTTAAAACTCACCTTCTGTAGATTCAACGTGATCTTCGTCCACTGGGGTCTTTTTCGTGGCAGATTCCAATCCATGGTCTTGATGCACTTTAAATTAATTAAAACCGCTTTCCTTTTAACTACTTGATAATTCTGTAAAAAAAGTATTACAAAAACACTTCAAAAGTACCGTAACAATTATGCTTCATTAAATGCCAGTCTGACCGATGAAAAAAATTCAAACGGTTATTCAACAAATACATAGGTATAGAAGTTTCTGAACTTAATTAATTAAAATTGGGGGAGATGCAAAATGGCGAAGATAACGAGATTCCTGACCGCATACACAAATGGACTATGGCGGTGCCTCTAATCTCCATATCAGATGGCCTTTTGATCTGCACAAGAGTCCAGCTTATAACAACCAGAGCGGTGCCAGGTGTTTCCGCGCATCGGTGTTTCACTGCATCGCGACCAGGAAGAAACTACCTCAACTATCGAAGTTGATTCGCCCACTGTGCACCAAAAAAAAAACAACTGCGTTCATATTTCATATATTCACCGGCGCACTACCAAAAACAAACCACCTCACACTGAAGACTCATTGTTCGCTGATCGCAGTCACGAACACCATAAAGAAACCACATCGTCGTAGTGGATGTCGACCATGAAGCAGCCATCGACTTTTGTATTCAAAATGAGCCCTTATGCTATATAGCCGCAGACAAGTGTCACAGTAAGATGCCAACAGGAGAGTGAAATTATTATCAAGCATTTTTAGTAGATTGAAATGCTCCAATCTGGAGAAATGTCGTTATGCATGAAATCCTGTTGTTGTTCAACAATCGCCATCCAAGGCTAGCCATAGACAGTCGTGTAATTCAGATTAATGATGTTTGACTCTTAGACACTTGAAATAGCATGTCAGCATTAAAGCTGTTCATGCTCTGCAAACTATGAAACACAAGTTCGAAAGAAGTATATTGAAATAAAAACAGGAAATTAGAAAACGGACGAATGCAAAAGAATGCCAACAGGGGTCACCAAAATCATTTTCAGCGGATGGTGCCAGGGGAGTATTGCTGGACCAAACAGATATAAGTAGTGGGTTCGAAAGGTTACAAACGACTTAGAGAATGATTTTCTGATGGATACCAAGTTAAACTCTAAAAGCTTGTTAGAATAACGTGAAAAAAAGTATTAGAAACAGCGAGTTACGTAGCGAAATTTAGCAGCGGATCAAGAACAGTCTTTGACAATAATGATGATGAAGCACACAATGGTCAGTTACAATACTAATGTATTTACACAGAGCTGTTGCCAGATATCTCTCAAACCTAATAAATACAATAAAATTTTTATGACAGAGTAATGATACTTGTTTGAAGATTCGTTTTTGAATCGACGATCTACATGACTTCTTATTTGCTATCCATATTTTCTAAATGAGCCTTAGCAGAAATGTCTTGTTTCCATAGGAGATATTTATGCGGAAAAGAGAACAAAGAGGATCTAACTACTTTCTCGTAATGGCAACTTTTGACCTTAAACTGTTATGGGATGATGAATTGCGAACATTCAGCTTCGTATGCTCTAGTAATTAGCTAGTAAGGTAGCCATAGTAGTATCCTTATTGCATTTCCGACTAAACAACTTTTTGTCAAGAATTCTTCACAAAATTAATATAATCGTCGGTGTCTTAGGGGATCAAAATCATGACTGACAACTCATTCGTTTCCGAGATTATTTCTAAATTTGGACTGTTTAAATATTAGAACATTGCATTTTCGCTTTCATGAAAAATAGACAAATGGCTAAGACAAGGATGTGTTAGAATAAAAAATAAGATGTACTTAGCGGCAACGGTCGGTCTGAAAATATTACATGAATTTGTAACTGTTCACTAAAAAGGCGGTTTTAGTCAAGGGCTGACTAAGTTCTCTACGCCTTGTAAAAGCAATTCTGTAAAGAAAAAAATAAACTGCTATCATTATACAGCTGAATCGTAAGGTACGTAAACCACGGTCCGTAATAATCCACAAAGAAAATTGATGATATCTTTCCACTGTTTCCTTTGAACAGAGAATGATAATTCATGAGTTGGATAGATAAAAGATATCGTGAAAATTTTATTGAGGTAATGTCAAAAAATTGAAGAGATATTCTATGGATCCTGAAGGTCTAAAAATCTGGTACCATAATATTACTATAGTATTCTTGTTCATGTCCTGAACGGAGGACGCATTTTTTTTTGTTTATGAAGCTCATCCGGCTCTTCGTAAATCATACCTCAACATCACTGTCGCCAAAGGTGGACGGTTGTCAAAGTAAGTAATCCAAAGTTTTGGGGAAGCATAGTGTGGTGTACTTTCCGTAACCGACAAGGACCTGTTACGAGTTGCCACTTGCAACTAACGAAATAATCGTACTCATGGATTTCTTCACTTTTTTGTGACACGTCTATTAGAGAAAAGAGAGGAATGACTAAAAGGTTACTGTTCGTATTAATCATTTTGAATAAAACATACTGAAATTATTTAATTGTACTGTACATCAGTTTAAAGCGAATAACAATTAGTGATGGGGCCAAGACTAAAAGGAATTTTCTTTCCACTGTTCATGTAGCGCACTTACGTACGGTTCTTTGTCGTACAAAGCGAGAAAGTTATCTTGAATCACCGCATATCTTCTTTTCCATTTCTTTAGGAACATTCTACTGGTCTGCTGTTCAACGTTTCCAAGGTTGATAATCCCCTTGGAATCTGCCTGGGTTAAAAACGGCTAAATGAACGTTGATTAGACGAATGACTACAGAAACACTTGGCATGAAAAGTTTATTGTCCATCGATGTCAACAATTCAGTTTTATTTTCAGGATGAAAATAATTCCGATATTTAAATATTTCAACGCGATTGTCCCGTTGCTCATTTTGAAGGCTTAGTTTTGTTTCCCTTTTTCAGTATTTTTCTTACTACATTGAAACTGTGAATTATGTTTCTGAACAACTTTTATTGCCAATGGGAACTCTTTAAAAAATCTCCGTTCTTCCCAGGAACCAAAGAAAACAAAAGAATATTATTTCTGAGCACTGCTGATTTGCAAATGGACGCGTGTCGGTTTGACAATTCTTAGTCCAACATTCATATGCAAATAGAATAATTTCAGTATATATTTGTTTATGATTACCAGATTAATCCATTCCAAAGTAATTCAGAAAGAATTAAATTTGATGGTAGAGATGCATGTAAAAAAAGACGTAAATGAACAGGTTTTCAAAAAATGAGCATGTGTTCTGTTACTACAACATGTAAAATTTCTGCAAATGAAATTAAATTAATTATCAATGTTAACTTAACGCAAAATACATTCCTTCAATAAATAAATTTTGTCAGTCGGTCATAATTGGTGATAAAAAGTAAAAATATCCACATGCACATCAACCTCTTAAAAATAATTTAACTTACCATGACGTTATTGCTTTCTCAGCGATTGAGCTTGAGTGACACGAATGATAGCAGTACGCAGTCTTCAACAGGAGGAAGGGGCACATGAAAATAAGAACCGTGTGAATTAAACTCTGTTAAGAGTTTAATGTGAACCGCGGCCAATTAAACTGAACTTTAAACATGCTCTAATATAGTACAGCCAGATTTAAACTATTTACCAAATACTGATCAGTCGACGGCATAGCAACGTTAATTAACCGGAACAATGTTTGTAAAGGTGTTTAAGGCGTTTAGGTGTCTAGTGAATTTACTCAGTGTGAGAGTCATAGTATCTGAGTATCTTAGCGCTGCCTATCATTTTACTGATCTACTTTACCCCTTATCAACCATGCTTCAACAAGTGTCTTACTCGGAGCCGCTGCTGAATACTTCGGTATCAAACTCTTTGGGCTGTTGTATGGGGGTCAGAAACCAACTTCCTGGTGGACATCAGTGGTTTAGTTGGCCATCAGAGAGAAGAAGGCTGCAATCAAGAGGTAGCTTGGAAGCAAAGAGACTTCAACTTCAACGAGGGACTAAGAAGAGTGCAAATGCGAAAGCGAATGTTGATTCGTGCGAAAAGTTCGATGAAATGCTGGAGTGAAATTTCGAGGTGGCAAACAAATATTTTTGCAGATCATCCGTCGCCTTCGAAGTGGACAGGCCTGAGGGACAAGTCTAACAGGCCTGAGGGACAAGTCTGGATACCCTCTTATCAGGAGAGAGGGCATACATCAGCGATGAAGAAAGTACTTTAAGCAACTCCTTAGCTCTGAGCAATTGCAGGTAGACTCGATTACTAGAGCTGCCGGCAACATGGATTAGTTCTTCAGCAAATGAAGTCACAGAAGCCGTAAGAGGCTGGAAAAGTGGTAAAGCTGCTGGAATCCAAGAAGCTCCCTGAAACAGGCAAAAAGGCATATCAACGTGCAACGACTAAGGGAAACACACCTGTGGACTGTGGAACTGTTGTGATAGTGCCGTGTTCAAGAAGGGAGGTCACATGGACTGCTTCAGTTATCGGTACATTTCCTTACTGACATTTTCGGGTAGTCTTCGTAAAGCTGTTGAAAAGGCACTGCCTTAAAATTGCTGACTCCAACATCCTAGAAAAGCAGAGTGGCTTTCGCTCAGGCCAGAGTATCACTGATATGATCTATGACCTATGCCAAATGGTTGAGAAATCGTGATAGTTCGCTCATGCCGGCCGAACTATGGGTAAAATGGTCAGTTGCTACGACCTACCCAACAACTGTATCTTGAAAGCAGGACCTGCATCAGCATAACGGCATTTCAACGCTGGCATCTCTATCAGTCAAGAGTGCATTCATTACCATCGCCTGTTTGTGTTGTACCTGAACAACCAGGGTTCCTTGTAATTAAATCAGAACTGCGCTTGAAGACCAAGCTACGTGCGTTCAGATCCATTTTTACTCCGATGATCACTTACAGTAATAAGTTGTGAACCATGACTGAAAAACTTCGATCCCGGCTGAAATGGGTTTTCTGAGACGAAACTTCGAGCTTACCGGTCACGGTATGGTCCACAGTTCAAATTTTCGGGAAAGGCCTTAATGCATAATTTTTGGTTCCACAGACTGAGAACTCACAGCTGCGATGCCTTTAGTAAGTTTCGATAAAGTCTTTAGAAAAGATGACGAAACAGCTATTACTTTCCAAACCGACCGGCCAAAACTCCAGAGACGGTGAAGAATAACCTTGGACGAGTGCATGGAACGACTCTGCTCCAGATTCAGCTTATCTTCTGCCGAGGATCAAACGCTGGCACAGGATCGGGAACGTTGGAGACACTATCTGACGACGCAGACTCGACCACACAGAAGTACTGGTAGTCAACGCGAGTGGTCATTAAAACTGCCTGATTAGTCGATTTCACCACAGTCACCAACCCTTCATCTTTCTCATCCGGCTTTGAGTCTGGCAGCATCTGAACTAGCAGTACTTTCGGTTTACAATCGCATTGACTTCTGGACTAAAGTAAAGACAGGGCTAAAATCATGCAGAATAACTGAACGGCCAAAATTACCATAGTCATTCTGTTGTTAGGTTTCGGATTTCTCTTCGTCAGAATTTGAGTATGAAGGCGATGGCAGATTAAGATTTTACGAATATCTCGTGGACCATCGCGGGGAACTGATGAAACGTTTATTACAACAGTGATTAAATGATGCAAAAATGGATGTGCATCGGATAATATGACTCAAGCCTACAAAAACGAGTTACATGTTGAAATTCACGTCAATATCTGATGTCACCTATCGATTTTTGGTATCAGATATCGTCGTCCTGTGCATTGGTGCAAGACGACGATGCATGCAGATGCAGCGACAGTGTCACCGCTACAGTACTAACCATTTTACATCATTGTACTACCCAGTAACATACAGCAAAGTGGGATTTTTACAAACTTGTGGCAAACGAAGTCTGTGACATTTCTAAGCTTCAAATCATCTTTTCAATTAGTTTTGTACGCTGAACGGAGACGTCGATTCGTGGCATTATCTATTTTTTTTTAAATGGCATTTTGTTCAACACTGCCCAATAGCACAAAGAATAACAATCTTAAGGCTGTTTCTCTGTTGAATCACACTTATGAAAACATATCCCATACTTTACGTAAGAAAATTTCAAAGCGGCAATGCTAATACATGAGTTCAGGAGATTCCGTTGAAATCATGAAGCTATTTTTAGCAAGACCATTTGACTACTCTCATCGTAACATAGTCTTGTTTTCAAGTTACCTCTTTACAGCTTCTTTAGTTCCTGCTTGTCTCATCCATCGTTTCTTTCTTAATTTTTATGTGTCGCCCTTACTGGTCGAAACTGTGAACACGTTTGCCCGTATTCACCGTGCTGTGATATCGTGCCTATATGCCCAACGCTTTCGTTCCCTTTTGTGAAAAGTCTATCTTTGCATGCCTCAGTTGGTGCTCATCAATAATTCCATTCAAGCAGCTAAATCTTCTGATAAGCGATTTTAATCGCCGGTCGGTTTTAACGGTGAATACAAGTCTTTCAATGAGCACTTCAGCGTTTATTACCAGCATACATACAACAGCAAGACAATTATTAACACCCACAAACGCAAATGACAGCGACTTAAGGCACAAGTACAGCATTAGTTTAATATAGCCAGTAATTATAATTAGGTTATTCATATCTAAAAATGAATTCACCATGATGAAAGGAGCCATAAACCACTTTTTCTGGTTATGCACTTAAATAAAAGTTGCTTTAGTCTATAAAAGGGAAAAGCCATTACGATTTGCTTCCCGTCTGGCAATGTTTGACACTGAGTTTTTCGATGTTGTCAGTGCATGAAAATAAGGATCAAAATCTCTTCTGGTAAATCAAAATCTACAACGACAAATCGACTATGCCGCCGGCCCCACGTGAACAAGTTTCACAACAGTTGCGGACAGAAGGATGATTTCTGCACAAGAGATGCAATGGATGTGATTTCCACGTAAAAAAAGTGGATGTCGCCATTCGGTCAGTCTTCAAAAGCCATCACCGACTTCTGTCTTGATATGGCTAATTTTGAAATTTGGATAGATGTGAGTGACAAAACATCAGCTGATACATTTTAACGTTTTGGTACCAATCACATTACTGTCTTGGAATTTCGAAATATGGCGGAAATCTCGAAAATAAATAAGGCATTTTCTTGTTCTTAATCCATTATACGAGGCCGAAACGATCCCAAAATAATCGGGATGATAAGTGTGAATGACGCGTTTCGTTACAAAAAAAAATCCTTAAATAGTTTGAGTTACTGTAATATAGGACGCAACGAACTGTACGGTAACGAGACGCATAGCTGACAGCTCACGTAATAAATTTGAGTATTTATTTTCACAGCAGAAAAATTAAGATCTGAGAGGGGTGTCAAGAACAGTTAAATTACAGGGAGTAAAGGAAACATCTTCATTAATTTCATCTCAGTTGTAAACTTCTAAAAAAGCAAGACGCCACAATTAAAAACAACAAAGAACGGAGTCACAGTCAGACTTCGGAAGGGACAACAATTTCAAGCAAAGATGGCAAAAACGTGATGCAAAACGGCGGAAGTTCTCTCCAACTTCAATCATCCGAATGGAATTGAATTCAACTTAATGTAGAGAGTAACGTTGACAAATTAAAGAAGTTCCAGATCCACGTGCCGTAATTCCGGGAATTTTTTCTAAAACTCGACATAATGTAGGAATACCAACTATCTTACTTACAATAAGCTCCTGCTCAATCCGGTCGATTTCCGCGCCCAAACGGTCGATAATTAGTTCTCCATGATTCAGCAAGAAACTCTCTACTTCTTCAGTGATTTTGAAATTCTTCATCTCCTGTAAATAATGATAAAATATAGATATTTGTTTATACATAATTTGCCATCTGTTCTAAGACTTTTGTTTGTTTCCTAAGGGTCCTTAAAGAACAAGAGGAAAAGAATGGCGTGCCTATGTCGTGTTAACCCCGAAAAGAACACCCACATACGCTATGCTGATGAAAGATAACGACAACTGGCTTTTGTCAGTATACCCAGAATATACTGGTTATTTAAGAAAGGAAAGAAAATTTCACAACTGAAGGTATGTTGGCAGCATTCAGTTTTATGACTGGAGTGAGGGACTATATATAGCGCACTTCCTTTCATGAAGTTGATAGTGCGACCCTGATTTCCGTCTCAAGGTCATCGGAGAGAAGTGTCGGTATTTTAAAAGCAGATTTTACAGCCAGGTGGTAAGCACTGTCTCTTGTTTCTTTCACGTAGAAGTGTGCTCATTAATCTATCTCACAAGAAAGAAAGGTGAATGACCTGACCGCAAATCGAATCCGGAACCTCACGGTTCTAAGTCCTACAATCTACCGACTGAGCAACCCCAGCTCTAAATGGCTATTTAAACGGGCCACGCACTATATTATCTGAACATCTGCAGAGCTAAATGAATCTCGTATTATATTTTCTGCTTGAGCTAACTAACATACATTACAAAGCGTCCTTCAGGAGTGTTATTCCATACATCCTATCTCATAAACACGTTCTTACGAAGGAGTACTTTGAATGGCGTATGACTGCCTCAAAACCACAGTTTCACAAAAAGATAGTATTGCCAACATTTTAATATTTTCACAAATGCTGCCTGTTAACAGCTATGATGAGTATGAAAGCCAACAAGAAAACCAACATTAGTTAAAATGATTAGATAACAATTTCCTGTTAGAAGCTGATGATCATTCCTTTACATACGTGCTCATTGACTGCTAAACATTTTTAGTCTTTGTTTCCAGTTCAATACCCTACTTAAATAATCAAAAATATATGCAGCACGTAGATACATTAATGATTAAAGTTCAGACACGTGCAGTCGCATACGACGCTTGCAACTTTAGGTGCTCAAATGCCATAGTAGTTTGAACGGCAATACTCACATTTTGATAATACATTGTGAAATCCGGCGCTGAGCGATGCAAATGCATATTAACATTGAATCATATTAACATCATAACTGACTGATGAAATCGCCGATAAACTCGAATATACATCTGAATATGTTTATTTTTCAAGAAATGTCACTACGATTTTGAATGTAAATTTGCTTCCGAGTACTGCATTTAAAAAATGTTAACAGAATTCATGAGGGAGGGAAAGAAGTGAGAGGAACATTAAAATTCATCTCGTACGCCAATTTCAAATTCACTCTGCACAGCGATGGTGCCGATCTCCAAACCGCCAGGTTAAAGAAAGGCTTCAGATTGTACTCATTGCTATGAGTAGCAAGAGTACATAAGAGCAAGAGCAACTCATTTGAAAGATCTTCAAATTTCATTTAACTTACCTGCAAGAGTTTTAGAAGATCCAGTTGTTCGATGTAAGAACGCGTGATATTTCGGCCGTCAACGTCTATTTCAGCCTTGAAACGCACTCTATGAGATCCTAACTTCGTTGCTTTGATATCTTGGATAGATCTACGACGGAAAATCAATAAGGAAACGACAACGGGCGAAATATTACTTAATCATTACATCGTCTTCAAGACCACGTATAATTTCGAGAAGGTCTTTCTGAGGTATGGACCTAAAATGCGCATGTAAGCAATCACAAGTCATTATTTATTCTTATAATCTGCCTTTTCTAAATTTCACTATAATTCTCACAATGTAAAGTCTAAAAGTAATGTCAGTCATAAACAGGTAAAACGTAAAACTGAACAAAATAGAAGTCAACACTTCAACTAGCAAAGTAAATTATATCGTGCAAATTAACTGGTTATTTATTAAAATGGACTCTCATTTATTCAAAAGTTAAGCAAAATTAAATGTAATTACTACAGGTTCAGTCCAAAAGATACAATAAAGCCAAAACAAAAACAAAGATTACATCGTGCTCCCTTAAAAAAATAAGGATAACAGCTTTCACTCCTTCATTTTAATAATGGTTTACATTAACAGATTTGCATAACAAAATATAAGCATATCTGCCAGACTGTGGCTCATGTACATGAACAAATAAAGTCCTACTTGATAATCATCATCGAAATCAAGGATACACATTGCGCTGATTATTAACCATAAGACTGATCAGTGTGAAGTGCAGCCACAAGGGGAGCTCGCCTCAAATATCATCGTCGGAAACCCTGTCCATTCTCGCATGATCAGACCAGAATGCTATGCTGATCGTATCTACAGAAGCCACCGACTTAATACACCGATTTCTCGACTAGTTGCACGTAAGTAATGTGTAATTAATTCCGCTCAAGAGAATTCTCCCCTTTAGAGAATTAGAATCCGACATCTGGAGTCCAAAGCGCACCTCTTTGTCACTGTACCACCCTGCCCCATTATTTCTGCTTACAGGGTATAAAATAATTAGATACTGCCCACAGTTACGCATTATTTATATATAACGTACATAAAATATATTTTAGATTCACACTGTTATGTGCATACATAATGTAAAACTCTCTGTATGTCTATCATGCATTCATATGAATATATAGAAACGTTACGTATAGAAAGACAAGAAATACACATTTTGCCTTCTGCACCGAATAATAATCGACGAAATGTAAACTTCGACTGTTGCTTAAGCAGTGCGTAGCATAGCCGATTACTAGCATTAAATGGAAACTATATGAACAGCAGAAAGCACTGGTGGATCCAGTCTCGGAACTGGACAGACTGTTTTTCTTTCGATAGGCAAAAAATTAATATGAACTTAAGTAAACAAATAGCAACTTGACTGCACTAAACTCTGGCACAAACACTAATGAGCAAATGAAAGAATCGGTCAAAGCAGAATATGCGAAAAGAAACTGCCGAGTCGTGAAGAGCAAGCTGTGCGGGAAGAACAAAACCAGTACTCTGTACCAGTGGTTGCTTATACCTGCAGTATTGTGAATGGACAGAAAGACAAGGTAACTTTTAAAATGTACTACGTGGTACAACTAGAGCTGATATATACATACTGTCTTTACAGCGTAAGGATGGAAAATGAGCGCCTCAGAACAAAAGTATCCTTGCATTACAGATATTATCGTTAAGGAATAGAATACCGACGGCAGTAAAGATTAATGGCCTATGCATCCAAGAACAAACAACATGTGCTATGAAAGTATAGAAATGGCGTGATACAAAAGTGGAAGAGCAGACAACTTCATGGACAACATCATCGCCAATTCCATGAAAACACAGATATCTACCAGAATTTAATCTGGCTTTCAAGGAGTTGACTCCTTTGCGAAACAGAAGTACATGGCAGGAACTAGTGCATAATCGAAATGCAGGAGATGCAGCTAGAACCAAAAAGCAGAATGTGTCAAATGAAGGATAACGCGGTGATCCCTATAATCACTCACCGGCTGCCAAACGCTCATGTTAATGGAAGGTACAACGAAGTTGCAAAGATAGTCCACTGAAATCTGTGCAAGTGATTCTACTTAACAGTGGAAACATCAGCCGAAGGCGTTGAAAGAGACTAAGGAAGTGAAGATATGCTGGGACTTCCCAGTATGAATTGAGAACAAAACATCAGCTCATCGCCCGGATGTCGTGTTCGCAGACAAATCAGTGATATGGCATATTCGTCAAACAGAAACTTTATTAATGGGATATAAAACACGCAAGAACATTAAGAATTAAAGTAGAAGTACAGCAGAATTCATTTGTTTGGTGACTGGTGCCATTGTAAAAATGAAAAGAGATTCTCAGCGCATACTAAAGTCAACTGATCAAGCGGTCAAGGAACAGGAAGTTGAAGACTTTGCAACGAACAGCCAGGGTTTTAAAAAGAGCAGTACAGCTCCCTAAGCCATGGTAATGGGTTTGAGCAAAGATTATATTCATACGACTCATGCTATGTTGCATGGTGTGACTATAGTAACTAGAAAAGTGCATGGCGTGACTATAGTAAAAGAAAAATATACAGTAACTAGAGAGAGAAGTACGGAGGATGTAGTCGCCCAACGGAAACGTGCCTTGGCAATGCATTGTTTAGAAAAGCGGGTTCAAATCCCGACGATGTGTAAAATGTTCTCAGCAACTAATTACCTGGAGCAAAATTCATCCTAATGACATCGCTATGCTGACGGAAGGTCAAACTATCTAAGTGTATCTGACGCATAAAAGGCAATGAAAAAGGTGGATAAAGTACAGTAAATGACAATTCTTCTCATTTCATTAAGACAAGCCCTAGAATGACAAAATTACTCTTCCCAAACCTGGGTACTCTGACTAACTACCGCTAGTTGTATTAATTCCCCCAACAACACATGTAAGAATCTTTGTATCAGACAATCTGTTCTCTAAACATACAACGACGCTTGATGTTAGCATTATAAATCTAAAGTAATAAAATAATGAAAATTATAACTTAAGGTAGAATAAATAACGTAATTCTTCTGAAGTTTTACAGTTTTCTCGCACACAAACACTCCTTACCGACCAACAAGATGCATCGAATTTGCATAAATTACAACGCTGGCCACTCCTCCTAGAAGTCCGCCAATCACCAAAGAACCAACGGCGTCCGGAACGACGGATCCAAACTGCTTAGAAAGCAGCAAACACAACGCCGCAACCCCAACACCGAGTAGTGCAGCCATGTCTTCGAGAAACACCACGCTGAGACTGGGATCTTCTCCTTGCAAAACTAAACCATTTTATAACTTTAACAAAATAAGCAAAAAATATCAAAACACTCTGTTGAAAGGAGTGCATTACAACAAAGTATTTGTTTGCACTTCTATCAGGCTTTTACCCACTAATCATTGATGTCAAAGAAGTAGGGTAGAGCTGTTCTCAGACTATCAATAGCCAGAGTAATGGAATGCTATGAAGTGTCGTTTCTGGTATGATTTTCATCGCTTACTTAAGGATGAGAGACAAGACGCAATAAGGGAACACGTCACTATGACCAACCGTAACACTTAAATCATTTCTTCGAGGGCCTTGAACAGGTAAATGACTTGTAAGCGTAGAAATGATACACTGCTTACGTAAATTAGCCATATGTACAGGTGAAAAAAGTGTACGTGTAACAGGACAAGAATATAAGCCTTCTGTTTGGGTCCTGTTTTTAAACTAAACAAACCTGATTTTAAAAGGAAAAATCTGCATGATGTCAGCCATACCACAAAACAAATAATCTCGTTTGATACATCAATCCATATCATTTGCCAATCAGACCATGCTCGCTTATGTGTAAAGCATATGAGCCACAACTTATTTAAAGGATAAGTTACCATAAGGTAAGAACAGACATGCTACTGAATTTCCTTCTGCTATGAATCTTTGACCGCACCGAAAGAGCGTTTGTTTCAAGTGAACAATGCGCGTGATTTGAACTATACCTTTAAAAATTATCATTTTTCTGCAATCATTCACTTAAGTAAAAAACGACAGTTTATGACACTTCTACCAGAAAACAAATCGCTACAAAACTGAGAATCGTCACTTAATGTGTTAATCATAATGGGAATACTTTCCAGCTTCAACTGACATAAGAATCAAAGAGGATTCCGACCAGCATGAGCATACAAAATCAAAGTTTTAAAGTGCTTATTGTAGAAGCTTTAAATTGATGTTTTATTCCGGTCATGTTTACGAGAACTCCAATGACCAGCGGAGTCAATGACATGCTGTTGTCATTTTCTCATCGCCATCTGGGGTTAACACAGCATAAACAGCTAAACAACCCAGAATTAACGTCTGACCTTTGGAAGTGGCATTTTAGGTTGATATTAGACATAGTTCACTGTTGCGGCAAAAAGCATATTCCTCCTTGCAAACAAGTCTACCTCAACGAGGTATTAGCACGTTTTCTAGTCATGCATCGGTCTCTGAGTTTATCTAATTATTTGTTCAGACCGGTGATCGTCAGCATCTGTTCATTCGTGACCCAATGGTATCATGCATTGTGAGAATATTGCGCAGACAGGGTTGCTGAAAGCTGTCTAGACGAGCTTCATAACAATTCAAGACAACAGACGCTTCTAGACTAAGCATAAGCAACGCGAATACGGCAGATTTAAGAATTGTGATCCTCGTGTCCGCTCTTATCATGCGATACTTTGATGTCACATAGTTTATAAAACTTCGTTGACGCCAGTCCAATATGCCCGTTCACTTTATGATCAATGCGGCCACCGTTAATCAACAATGTTTTGAGGTACTCGAAATAATCCACTTAGTTCATCGTAATATTATTTAACAGTATTTACAGGCTGACGACCGCCTTCATAATCTTCGTGTTTTTGGCACTGGCTTGTAGGCCCACACTTAGAGCAATGTCGAGCGCCTTTTCGGTGAGTGGCAATATTCTATGCTACGAGACACGTTCATTTCGCATAAAATTGTTAGTATTTACTTCCGTGCTTTTAAACGGATTTCCGTATCGCAAAGTCATCTCTTT